TGTACTGCAAATAAATATTTGATTATTATTATTATTGTTTACAATAACACGTCATAGAGAATTCAAAACACACATAATAATAAAAATAATAGTTAAACCTACTTAGTCAATTTTCTTTGTTTACTTTTTTTAAATTTACATATAAACAGTTTTAAAATAGATATTAATTAGTATTAAGACTTCTACAAATAACTAGACGTCACTTTTGTGGTTGCTAAGGTGATAACAAAGTAGGTACATAAGTTTAATTGTGATAACATTGCAATGTCAATGATTATGTTTTATTTGACGAGGAACTGTAACCGTCAGCAGCGCGCCAGTCGCCGCGTCGAGGGTCGCGGAATGCTGCTCATGAATATGATGCCTCTAGCATGGCTTGAAACTAGTCGAGTACTTCGTCGAACAATTACGAGAGTAAGCCGAAAAACATAACAATTAATTTAGTAAGTCTCACGGATGTTAAATCCTAAAGTGCACATCATTATATACGTTCATTCTAGTTTCATAGAACCTTCGAATCACTGATTTACGATGCAATTTTCTCGCGTCTTATAGTTAACTGCGACACCGCGACTTCTTTCACGCACGTAGAATATATTTATTTATTATTACTTCATCACCAAGGATAACAGTGAGTGGCGGACTTAATGCCTTAAGGCATACTCTGACAGTCATATATAATTCCTGTTTTATCCCATGGGAGCATTTAAACTGTCAAACACCAAGCGGTCACCGGTGACCGCAAACTATTGTTCTATAATTGTGTCTACAAAACCGGTACTCGACGAGTTAATCCGGATGAAAAGTATTCTATCACCTAAATCAGTATCCTGCCTGCATACTAACATCAGAACCCGTTCAGCAGTTTCAGCGTGATTGACAGACAAACATCCAAACGAAGAAACTTTCACATTTATAATATTAGTGTGATGTCCATAAGTTTCATCCAGAACATTTCTAATATACTTCTAACATTAGTCTCATCTTTACTGTTTTATTTGTTTACTTAGGAAAAAGATTTTAGCAATCTACCTAAATGGGTACTTATTTAATTTTTATACAGTTATATCCTTTACATTTCTAATTGAATGCAGATTTAGATAAATAACACAAAAATTCCATAATTCCAACTTTATCGGGCATATCATTTAAGAACTTTTAATTCCAAGACGTAGAAACAAGATTTAAGAATTGCAATTACTTTAAATTAAGCGCCGCCATGATAAAATGAACACGTCCAAAGTGCGAACAGTTGATAATCAATTGCATTTCCAATAGGTGAATACCAGATACTTATCAATACGTATATCAATCAGATAATAGTTACACAAAAACTAATGGAAATCTTTATAAAAATTGTGTAAGCAGAAAGTTCAACGGCTCCAATCGGAAAGTTTCGCAAGTGTCGAGTAAATAAACAAACGTGAAGATAAAATGACACAAGTACCGCGCATGTCGATAATGATATGTTTAACAGAACATTATTTTTTCGTATGGTGGAATTAACTCCTACAAATAGTGTAAAAATCTGTAAAATTGCTGTTATAATAGATTTAAAGAGGATTAAAACGCTCACCGTTACTAGTTTCAGGACCCGACATGCTGATAGTGGTGACAGACACGTGTCCCCCCTCCACCTTCACCGCGTCGCCCTCACTGCTCATCGCGGTACTCATCACCATCCAGTCCTCACACCATCACCACTCTCACCTCACTAAACTATCGATATTGTTGTCCTTATCGATACAATCGATGTCACTTCACTACACTATTATAGCACCACACACAAGTTCGTCTATGATAAATTCATAGAAAAATACTGCTCAAAAATTTTTTCAAAAACTATTTTGCTTTTTCCGCATAATGTTTTTATTCGTATAAAAATAAGTCTGAACGTTTCATCATCTTGCGTCGCCGCTCATTTTTAAGGCAACTTTTGGATTCAGTCTTGCAGTGTCAGTGTTCTTTTTACATATTTTCTTCGCTGAATGTTGTTCGGGTAAAGGCCAAGCTTTTTCGAATGTTAAGCAAGGATGTAGAGGATTACAGCCAAATGATAAAACCAGCATCTTGGGTAACCTGAAACAAAAACAGATCTATGTTTATTTGTTGTTATTTGAACTTTAATATTTTTTTTTTAAATGCTGATAAACCGACATGAACTTGTATAAAGGAGTTATCCATGAAATAATGAAAACAGGCAGATGAAATGCTATTGAAATAAAAAAAATCGAGGCCAGAACGACGAAGTTCGATCCGCGCGTGGCTCTGTTCGAATTTGGAATAAAGTGTCGGACGTTTTGAAACAGTGTGTTTGTGTACACGCACGAGACGTGGACGCGTCGCGCGGCCTTGCGAGCGCACCCAGTGCTGCGCGATAGCGTGCGGTATTATTATCGATACGCCTCTCGACCCCTCGTGTCATTGGCATTCTGTTTACGAGGGCGAAGCTCGGTCGCGATAGCGACGGAACGCGTCATACCCACTTACTGAATGAATTGCCGATTTAACAATAAAACTTAAATTTTTATTAAATCACCTTCACATTATTCTGAGTATAACTTCTAATACGTAAACAATTTGCTAATGGTAACAGCATTCACCAGTAACTTCTCGTAGATATCATTAGCAAATGAAAGAAAACATACATTTTATCAGTATTGAATACCTGCTTCTATTGTTCGGATTACACGGTAAGTTATCGATAAAACCAGTCACTAGCACAATCAAAGAAGGGAGTGGGGGAGGGGCGTTGTGCGGCCTTCACGGAGCCGGTTGTAGCGACCGGCCGGCCGCGAGCATTTCGCCTTTCGCGCGCAGGACTGGTCCGCCGCTCCCAATACCGAGCCACGGCAGCACACTCGATAATGTGTGAGATGAGTGTATTATGTACAAAGTTGAGTAATTAAATACGAAACCTATTGCGATACAGACAAAACATGAGTCACAATTTACCGTTCGAATTAAAGTCAACCCAATACTGCTGTGTACACTGTCCATTCAACTTCATAAATAATCGTGCAGAATGTCGAAACGTTTAGTACATATGTATAATGCAGGGTTGGCATCAGTTACTACCGTCTGGCGGGCCAATTAGCGTCCAATAAAGTCCCTTGCCCCCAGACATTTCTCAGTTATCGCTATCAGACACTGAGACAGGCTGCAGTGCAGTCGCCTTGGCAACGCAATTAACCACTACTTGCACAACTTAGAGCTTGTCTAGGTTGCACCATTACCGTAGTGTTTAGAAACAGTTATTCTCGTACCCCTTTATTATTCAAACCTGTTAACTATTTACCTAATATATAGTCATTTACACAAAAAGCTGCAATCAGTAGCTTAATTTAGTCGCGCAACTACTGAAAGAGACAAAGAAAACAAGAGCTTTAAAAAACGTAATGTCTTTATTCTAATCTATTCAGCTTGACGTCTATCTTGTTCTATTATTAAATTTAGTTACGATCGAAAACGTCCATCTCTTTCATTTAGATAGCGAAATAGTATTTCAGAGCGAGACGAATATAAATTTGGTGTCCTAATAAAAGGAGTTCATCAGCACGCAAGATGGCGTCACCGTGGCCTAGACAAGGCCGAGCGGTCATTTGTACGATACGCCAGACGAGCTGCTTTGTTTGCCTCCTATTTATGGATTATCTTTCCAACAAAACGTGGCGGATTTTAAGAATCTCTGTAAATATTTGTCCAACAATATTACCGGAAATGTTCAACACTACGCTTGTTAACCCACCGTTATGAATAATACGAATTGATAAGAAAGAAAGAAAAAAAATTAAGTTGCCTAATTTACAATAAGAATTTTCCGCGTTTAATCCAGTTCAAAATTTTCCGTAGAACATTCGTATAGATCCAGTTTCCTAAAATTGCATAAATAACTTAAGATAATTATCATGCACCAAACCGAGATAATGATAATTCCTTGACAGCAATATGCAGGCATTTATCGCGGCTGCATAAGCTGACTTTAGTTGCTCAACTGGAAGCAGTTAGCGGTTACTTTAATACTCAAATATCGAGGAAAAATCGTTTGGCATCAAATTACTTGGTATGGTATTTATAGGCTCGGCAAGTGATGTCCTTGCTTTGTTGTAGTCAGTTATCGATAAGGCTACGTGAGACGAGGCGTCGACCGATAATTATCTTAAGGTCACAGCACTATCTGTGACGTAGAGTGCCATGCATTGTGATAGTGATGGATGGGCCAAACTGAACGCTGGTACAGGTAAACATTTTTATATTTCAATTTTATGTTATTTATTAAATACAGAAGGGATTTTGTACCTAAATACAAACAAATTTTGAGATTATTTTCATTTAACAAAGTACACAAACTTTCTTTCTCTTTCATTCATATTGCTCTGAGTGTAAAGTCCAAATAAAAACAGTTTTTAACAGCTGCATGCACGAGCGAATCGTGACAAAGCAATACAAGTGATGGTAGGAATACCGTTGAGGAAAATTGTGAACGTTAATTTCCTACATCCTTGACCCCGATGGAGTGAGGTCGTCTTCGAGGGCGACGCACCCTATCGCCCACGATGACTGAAATAGAAGAGGTTAATACCCCCTAGCACGCCACTATTGCGAACAAAGAACTATGGGGTGGATAGTAGCGGTACCCTATTCGTACATCAATTATGAACAGTTTAGAAATTGTATACTGATATATTTCTAGAAAATTTAGTAAATAAATCAACATTTTCTGCTTCATTTACAAAGTATGATAAAAACTGCACGTGCGCAATTAACTTTTAGGAAGTAATTTCATGTGATTGCACAATGCAATTTTATGATGATGAATCAGTTTTCTTTTAAGTTAATATGACTAAAGTCGTTCGAATAAAAGGCGATCCCTAACTTGAACTCATTGCTCCGAACCGGACAATGCGATATAGAGCTTTAAAAAGACAACTTTAAAATAATTATGCGCAGACGGGGTAAATACAAAAGTCTAGACTGTAAAGCGTACCTCGGTTAGTCATAGAAGAAAGTAACGGAGGTGAATGTCTGATCTTAGAGTCGTGTGCCAACGGCCTTCCCTGGTGCCATGCCAACAGGTGTTTTCCGTAGTAATCACTCAGAAATAACATTACTCCGTAATTTTTATCGAATGGCTGACGACACAGGATGTTTCCTCATTAAGACGGTCGTAACCCGAGAATAATATTTGTATGGTAGCATGACTGGTCAATGAAAGTTGATTTATCAAAGTGACAATTTATCGTAATCAAATGCAACAATTATTATGAATTGGTATTGCTGTTTCGATATCGATAATTCATAAAAATTATGGTACATCCCTAAACTTTTAAGGGTTGGTTTGAATGATATCTTTAGGTTATGTGAGATTATTATTGAATTAGTGTCCTTTTAATTATATTCTGTGTTACAAGATAATAGCAAAAATTATAAATGATAGGATCATTACGAGTGAGCAATCTCAGAAGATATTTTTATTTAAATCATAACCATTATAGGTAGGTACTTAAAATCATTCATTGCAAATAGCACATTAAAATATAAAGCTTGTTCGTAACTTCATACCACAAGAATTTTTATTAACGACGTAATTATGAAATGAAATGACGATAGTTGTAGGTAAATAGACTGTAGTTCTAAGACCTTTGCCGATGCCAACGACCCTTCTGGTGATCTGCCAACATATGGACATGTTCTACCAGTTAATTAGATGAAATATGATGTTATGTACATTTTGGCACTTATCTAAAGTGACAATGATGGTTTTTACATAGGATAATAAGTTCATAGACCGTTTGGGAGCGATGAATACCTCATGACTCGTGTAGGTACCTCGGTACAGTTTTTTGACTGTAGCTTTCATTTATTTTGTCTTTAACCACGCATAGATTGGTGATTTCATAGATTAGACATTATTTTAAGTCCTTATACAGAATCTTTTTTTATTATCAATCACATACATAATCTGAGTCATGTTTAATATTTTAATAACACGGATAACAATTTCGTTCCTTCTAACACCAAGTAACACACAACTTGCCCAAAAATAATTAAACAGAGGACACGTTTATGGAACATCATAGTATCCCCATTCCACACTCACAACCTCACTCAATACTGTCATTGCCATAAGGGCACTCAGGGCCCGTGCCCAGGGCCTCATCCTCAGGGGACCCCGAAGGACCGACAATTTCTACGACGGCCACACACCGGCTACACGATGCGCGGGAATTGGATGCCGCGCAACTTGTAATTCCCGCACGGAGCACATCTTTGCTTTTTCCATAAATTGTTTCTGGTTAAAAAAAAAAAACAAAAAGCATTCCAAAAGGTCCCCAAATTATTGTGTGCATAAGAGCCCAGCGTAGTCCAAGAAAGCCCTGACCTGACTACCATTACCATACAACACCCATCAATCATCAATAGGAATGTAATAACACGCAGTAAACTGCAATATAAATTCTAAGTAGCTATCGACTTTTCATGTCTACATTTGAGAGGCAACGGGGAAATGGACCCCTATTCAAGTAGAGAGCAATTTATTAATACGACCGTACTACAAGTGGAGACGTTTGTCTGTCCGCAATAAATATGAATACTGGCTGGGTTTATTGATTCAGCCAAAGTTCATGCCCTCTTAGTCTGCCATCAACAGGTAGCTTCGGGCCCGACAAATTGATATTAGATTGTACAGGCACTCTGTGAACGTTTCCGTCTGCCTGTCTCGTCGACTTTTTTAAATACAGTAAGGGAAAATTTAATTTAGGTACTTTGTAAAAGTTTAAGCCAGTCGCATATGGGACTTAAAGGTGATAGGATTTTAATTCCTAACCATCTTAATTATAGCGTAGACAGACAGCTAGTGTGATCGGCGTCCAATGTTACAATCACCTTAACTGTTAACCATACATTATTTAGATGGAACTTTGGAGCCAAAAAGTCTATCTAGTTATTTGTTCTTTTACCCTTTTCGAAGAACAGAAAGCATGCATTATAAGTCGGTCTAACTAAAGTAATAGTAGAGCTAGACGTGCAAAGTTCATGCTGAGGTCAACTTCACGTAACATCTTATTAATTCAGCT